GGTATACCAGCTACTTCCATGTCATAAAGGCTTAGTCATGTCTCTTGACCAAGCAATGAGCTGGTGCCCTGACAGTCTTCCAGAGTCTGTAGTAGAAGTAGGTAGCAGTTGGTAGATTTGAGTAGAACAAAGTAGACAGTGGGAGACATAGGTAGATTGCAGGAGATATGGGTAGAGAGAGAAAGAAGCAACTACTGTATATCCTCAGAGACCATAGGAGTGGTATTATTCCTTAGCTCCTGTGAAGCACTGCCTTTTTATAAGCTTGCAGCTCTGATAATTTGCATAGCATTCTATCTAAGTTCACGGTACTAATACAAGGGCATTGTCTCTATGCCAATGAATTTGTTCAAAAGATGTCAAACAAGAAGAACATCAAACTATCACTCAAACTTGCAGCATGGATTGGAGAGACTATTCTTCTGAGGAGAAATGAACATTGATGGTAAATACCAGTCCCATTCATTCAGCCTCTAATGTTGGCACACCCTACATCAAGCTGTCATGTGAGACCATCCTGTGGGACAGATCCTCCTGCATCACTCACTCATTGATGCCAATCTGCTGGAAGCCAATGCTTCTGGTGCCAGTAGAGGTGTTGTCCTGCTGGAATGGATGACATGGACAGGGTGCCAATTGATTCTCCTTCCAAGGAGATCTTTTTCTCTTTGGCTTGGTTGACAGTACATGTAGAGCTGAGGAGACAGTGACGACTTGAGTTATGGATGTAGGATGGTTGAAGAGAGAAGGGGAAAGAAGATACTCAGACACACAGACCAGATGTTCTTAGAAAGAGAAGCAAGCAATGGTTGTGATAGGGTTGCAAGCATCTATCCACAGGTCATGTTGTGTTCCTAGCATGGCAACAGTCATCAGTGGGAGGTGGTCGGCAAGATGCAAACTCTGCACTTAGCCATATCAATCTCAGGCAAGGACTCTGATGGAAGGAAATTAGGGTCAGTGATGTGTTGATATGTGGACCAAGATGGCATAGCCTTCTGCAAATAGTGGGACTGGAGATCCCAGACTGACTGCCGATACTTCACAGGTCAGCATGGCACACTGGTCATAACAAATTCTTGTGCAATCCAATAATTCTACGTTCTTTGAATAGCAAATGATTAGATGCCAAAGCCTTCTTTGTGCTTCAAACCATGTCCGATCTGCAACCACATTGTTTGAAGCAATAAACAATCAACTGCCTAACTCTGTATTACACCCACTCTCCATTCAAAGTGTTGATTAAACTTTCCAGTCATGGGGTCAACATGGTAACAGCAATGGCTTGTGGACAGTCATGGCCAATATACCTCCTTTTCTCTTTTTGCCCTGCACCCCTATCTGGCATTCTTCAAAGGGGAGACTGGATATGATCCTCTTGATTGTTTTCCAGAGTTGATTTGGGATCTTCCTGATGGTACTCTGAGTCATGCACAATATGACTATCACAATCTCATTTCCGAGTGATTTGTTCAATGTTTCTTGGACACAATCTCCCAGTGGGGCAAGTGGAGAGAAGTGCCAGTGAATGGAATATGCCCCATTTCATGAGGCAATCTCTCTTTTTCACATCAACCATTTAAAGCCCCTTATTAGAAAAGTCTGTTTTTCTATGATCCTGTGCATCAATTCAAATCTCCTGCGGGGGTTTTGCTTATCTCCGGCAAAACATTCCAGCTTCTTTATTGCTCTCAGAAGCATTTACCTTCCGTGCCGATTCACACATGCGTTGTTTAAACTGTTTACTGTGGTGCACACAGGGTTTACTAGCGCGGCAGGTAGAACTGATACTCAAAGATAACGGCATGTGATGAACCAAGTACTGATGTGGTTTGGAACAGGATATCTGCTAGGATACCATCACAAAACGTGTTGAATACCCTTTCAATCCGATAATGGACTACTCCACTCTTGTATACACACCTGTACAAGGTCGGTTTTCTCAATCTCGCGGGCAAGTAACACCGATGATCACGGCGGAGTGATACAGAGGCTTTCAAAGATTTGATTCTCTACAGCTCGTTAGGCATCAAGAATGAGAGGCAGGTTGTTCCAGTCGGGTAATCGGAAAGGGAAAAGATGGGGGAACGTATCAGCTTTTACCATCCCCCTTTACCAGCTTCTGCATTGCCACCGAATTTTACGACCCTCTGCCTGGCGAAATGATTGTGTTTTGTGCTCAGTCCTCTACTCTATCATTCAAATCTTTCTCTACGTCCGAGTTCTCCAGTAATGGAACTTCGAAAGAAGACGCCTGTGTAATATGCTTCCCTGTTCGTCCACGCGCAAAAATAAGGACAAGAGCCTCATCATACATGTAGAGAGCGAAGACGAGAGTGATTCGTATCAGCCTGTTGTTGAATTCCCTGAAGATCCATCGCTACCTCCCTCTGACGAGGAACAAGAGGTGGTGGAGGAAAATGAAGAGCTCACAAATGACGACGACGAATAGGAAGATGGCTCCACGCCCCGCAAGGCGTTCGTCGGCGATGGCGCTAACACAAAAAGCATTAAAGCTGTTGCGGGGTACACGTCCTCCTCTTGATGACCCCAAGCGGGTCCAACTCGAGCGCTTTGCCCCGTTCATCAACAGAGAGGCCTCAAGTACGTATCAAGCCAAGTTCTCCACGCGATTTCGAGCGGTATCACTCTACTTCCCGCTTGCGACCAGGCGGCTTGCCAGTGAACCAGAAGCGTCTCGGTTTGACGGCTGGGGAACCGACCTACTAGATGTTCGGGGGAGAGAGGTCCGCTCAAACGGTTGATGACAGCAGAGGCGGAGATGAGCAGCGGTCCGAGATGGGAGGCATTGGAGGACAGTGGCTGGTTTCGGGAGAGCACAGCGACCGATGCAATGCCGGTATGGGAGGAGGTGGAAGTTCAGAGGAAGGACCTTAAGACTCTCAGTCGCGAGTGAGTACCGACCTTCATGATGAAGCTGCATATACTCACCTTTCTGCAGGGAAGCTGTCCCCTATCTACCGTCTTCATCAGTTCTTGCAGATAATGGCACCGGCCAGCCTCCACCTCCAGTGTCATGCTGCCATGGACCTCGCCTTGGCCAGTGCATCCATAACTACGCTCATGGCATGGGCGATAGTCTTGATCAAGTTCGGATCCGCGGTGAACGGATTGGAGGAAATGGCTACCACGCTATCGGATAGTGCGGAGAACGCCGAGTTCGCAAGGGCGGAATTAGGGGGCGTGAGGCTAGAAGGAATAAATGAGGCTGCAGATGCAGCCGTCGATGCTGTTCTGGCTGGTACAATGGTACGGGTGGATTGTGGTGCGTTTGGAAGTCTCGAGCATCCTATCTCAGCAGTGGGGTCAGATACTGATTAATATAATGCATATAGACTCAGAACATATCGGTGAACTGCTTCTGAAAGGCTGGGCAAAGCTCAGAGATGAATGCCTAAACACCAGCTGCTTTGGTATTCCACTTGAAAGATGGAGCTAGAAATGGTGGTGAGTGTGTGACAACCACAGGACCACCAAACATACCATGCAGCGACCACATCACGTCATCTAACTCAATATATGGCAGAACCACAGAAGGTCATGTGGATGGGCCAGGCTAACTGGTCAAGGTAGGAGGGGGCCTTTCCAGCGCTTCACTTCCCCATCCACAAATCACTCATCACCATTTCTAGCTCCATCTTTTGGTCATCCCCTGGCTGCCACACAAGTGGGATACCAAAGCAGCTGGCATTTCAGTATTCATCTCGAAGCATTGCCCTTCAGAAGTAGTTTGCCGATACGTTCCGAGGCCAGGTCAGATTGTGCACGGCGTTGGAGGGTAAGGGGAGAAGGCATTGGAAGTGGAGGAAGAGAAGGGGACCGAGAGGGGGGAGTTGTCAGTGGTGTTCAATGCTGGGTGAGAGGTGTATGCGGGTTAGTAGGGGGGGGGGGGGGGGTTGTACTGCGTTGTTTGTAGGTACCTCTGGTGCGGGTGGGGTAGTCGTGCGTGATACTAAACTCCGGTCAGAACAGTGTCGTCCGATATGATCGCGACAAGACGTACCTTCATGCCTCCTTCCTGCTCCCACCGCGTCTGGAGTGCGATCGCAATTCGCACAAAACATGGTTGATCCGTCTTTCGATCTTAGGAGGGGAACGAAACAGCCTGGAGTCGGGCAAACTGATGCTGTCAGAGTCTATATGCATTGGTCAGTATCTGATCCCAGATGCTCGAGACTTCAGCTCTGTTGTTCATGGTAGTCTGGTGGAAAGAAGAGGACGATGTATTCCGAGCAGAAAATGACCGCACCGGTTCAAGACTTGGAAGAAGGAAATTGCCTCCGGGGATCTGCAGGGTCCTTGATCAGGCAACGGGCGTCTGGCATATCTCTTCCCAGTTATCTCCTTCTCGATGCACAGGCCCTGATCCTGACTAGGCCGCCTGGGCGTGGAGGCTGCCGATTCTCACAGGAAAGCAGGAAAGCTTCTAACTGGCTTCTCCCCTGATCGTCCACTTATGTATATTATGGCTCGTTTGCCGGTCTGTTCGTGGCGAAATCGAAGGGGCGAAGCGTTTCTCTGGACCTGCGGAAGGAAATGGAGATTGCTGCAATTCTTTTCCCTGAGAATCAGGCCACTGTTGCTGCATAACAGAGCTCTACTCAATTGGTGACGGCTCGCCTGGTCTCACGATGGCTTCGATGAGGAAACTTGGCGCAGAATCGCCGAATGCTATGGTGACAAAGATATCACGTGACTAGGGTCTGTTGATCAGCGACTCGTCACGCTGGCTGACTCAAAAGCCTCACCCCTGGTCCGCCCATGAGCGCCTCCACTCCGTCAAACTTGGCAACGACGATCCTCCGTTCGAGCTTTGCAACTTATTCGCTGACAACATGTTTTATAATCAAGGGACCTCTGACGTGATGTTGCTGATCCTTGGTGCCCACTCTTTGCCAACAAACTGCACGGAAACTTGCTATTGGCCCTCTGGCTAATTGACGACCAACCATGAGGAATACTTTATGTCATCCCCTGGATTTGTCTTGAAGTTGATAGGTTTCCAAGACACAGAAGTCACAAAATCCTATTTTTTCATCCATGGGGCATGTCCTACTAGGCTACGTGACGGGATCCATCGTTTTCTCAGCACGTATAAAAGAGCGTCAGCCTGGACTGGATTCCTACACACCCTCAAATATCATCGTACTTCTGCATCTGCTCAATATCACACATCGTATCCGCCGTTTATATCAAGTTCACCATGTCACACGGCAAGCAGTTCACTTTGTACTCGTTCGTCTTCTTTCACCTTTCGTGGGTGCTCGGAAGTGCTGATCTCCCGTCACAGACACAAAGGCGGCCCCAATGGCTGGAAAATCGTCTTTGCCTTGGAGTATCTAGGCTTATCCTACGAGACCGTTTACCTTGATTTCCACAAGGGAGAACATAAAGGACCCGAGTACACGAAGTACAACCCGAACGGTCGCATTCCAACGATAATTGATCACAAGAATAAGGACTTCGTCCTCTGGGAAAGTGGCGCCATTCTCGTGTATCTGGTTCGTCCCCTACTTCATTGAGTCATTCCTCCCTCATTCGCTTGTTCAGGTCGATAAGTATGATGCCGACCATAGGCTCTCTGCGGCTACGGAGAAGGATAAATACCTGCAGCTTCAGTGGCTGTTCTTCCAAGCCTCTGGCCAAGGACCATACTTTGGACAGGCAGCATGGTTCTCGAACTTCCATCCAGAGAAAGTGCCGAGCGCAGTGGAGCGGTATCAGAATGAGATCAAACGCGTTCTAGGCGTTCTGGACTCCGTGCTGAGGGAGCGCGAATGGTGCGCACCTAACCAATTTTACGCGTGTCCGGACACGCCCTAATGATACAACAGGCTTGTGGGAGATAAGATGACCGTCGCCGATATCGCCTTCATTACATGGAACTCATATGCTCGAAATGGCCTTCTCAAGAATGATGAAAGTTTCAACTTCGATGAGCAGTTCCCAGCAGTCGCAAAATGGCATCAAGCTATGACTACGACACCCGTGATTAAGAACGTACTGGATCATATGGCCTCGTTGCGTTAAGCAGCATCTGATGTGATGGACAGTCTTAGCTAGTCACAGACACAAGTGTACATAACGAACGGGCCAATGCCACTCGTCGGAGCAATCACGCGTCTTCTTGAAAGAGATCGTTGCCTGTTTGGAGCAATGGGTGTACTGCGTCTGTCATGAACGGAGCACTTGAGACAAACTGGAATCGATAAATATACACATTACATGATTCTAAGTGAAATAGTCTATTGTACATAGATTATATGCCGATCTATCAAGCCAATCATTACTGGTTCGTGTAGTATTGTACATGATCATCATCTCGGTCGTCTAGACCAAATATGGAGGAAGCGTCCGATTCGGACGGAGCATCGCTTTCCCAACTTGAAGAGGCATGGTGGGAAAATGCTGTTGAAGGAAGGTTGGCAAAGTATCCTTCGTTTCCTTGCTCGTACTGCTGCCCAAAGCTAGGACCGACGTCTATTGGAGAAGCAATGCTGAACAGATCTATGAATGGAGTGGGAGGTTCCGCTAGCTCGCCTCCATATGGAGGCTTGCCGTTAGTAGGTCCAGTAGGCGTCCGTTCACTGCTGCTGGGATAAATTGAGCGCGACAAAATGGCGGCGACGCGACTCTCCGCATCTCGCATACTATCGAGGGAAGAGGAGGACGGCAGCGTTTCGTCGCCGTCAAGGTCTTCCTCGAAATAGTTGCTGAGATCGTATAGGGTGGACACAAGTTCCCCAAATGATGCATCTTCACCATCATCGTTGTAACCCGACACAGATTCAGGTCGGCCATACTGAGCGGGGTTGCTTATGTAGTCTTGACCAAACAAATCGACGCCAGACGTTCTAGCGATCTCGATGCGCTTGTTGTTGCAGACTTCGTACAATGCGGTGATGTTCTGGCGACATGCTGTCCGCATGGTTTCTGGCTGCGCAACGCACCACCCTGATACATCTGGTATACCGAAAACGATACCTGGTGCGCGCTCTTCCTGTCGCCGCAAGGAAGGCCCACTGATCAGGCTCATGCGAACTACCTGACGTGCAGGCATGCCGCCTGTGACTGACATTGGTTCATCCAGCACATCGAGCGCTTGAGAGGCCAACTCTGTACCCAGCAATCTCAGCAAGGGGGTAAGGTGTTCTGAGCCAAAATAAGGTAATTGTCCTCGTATATCGGGCATGCTGAAAAGCTGCTTCAGGACAGCCATAGTGTTGACGCGCGTTGTTTCGGAACTATTGAAGATGAGTCCGAGGAGCAATGTGATTGTATCAAGCCATCCACCGCTGGGTATGCGCTCGCGAAGACAGCCAATCATTTGTCGAATAAAGTCATCCCGTATTCGGAAGCGATTTTTAGCGAAAGAAGAGAGAACACGGACCATCCCATGCCATTCAACGCGTTCCGCGATAGCAGATATTTTTGTGGCGTAAGATTTGATCCAATCGTCAGAATCGCTTTGGTTATCCATGGACTCCAAGAATCGGGGTATTGACACCGCAATAATCCGGTGAAGGTCGTCACCTTCAAAGAAAGGAGACATCGGATTGCCGGATAAACGGTCAATCAACTGGAACGTAATTTCACTGGTGGAGGACGACCGAAGACCTGGCGAGAGCAGTTGGAACAGTGTCAGATTCGGTCCTGTCCATAAATCGGGCCTGGCATTTAGGCAAGTGAAGAGATTTTCCACCTTTGCTTTTTCTAGAACTTCAAAAAGATTGTTCAATATCACTACACCCTCTTCGAATTCGTGTTTCGATGTCGAGTACGAGCAAGCGATTCCCGCCCAAAATAGCTGAGGATATTCCAACAATTGATCCAGTGATACCCCTGATGACAGAGAAACGAGCCCACGGATGATCTCGTTCGCGACGGCGTTACCTTGATCTGTGTTGTCAGATACAATGTTCGAAAGCCGACCCAAAAGCATAGCAAGGGTGTTGTAATTGAGCTCTAGGCGTAAGATGCATAGTATTTGCAGGGAACGAAGGGCAACTTGACGACTCGATGTAACAACACTCCACTCCAGAGCTAGATCACGCCAATCATGCCGTAGGGTTGGGAGTGTAGGATCCAGCAACGTGATGATTTGCTCGCACAAAGCGGCGACCAGTCCCCGTGGGTCGGGTCGGGATCTTCTACTGTCGTTCATCCAAGCGAAGTGCGCACTGTCACTGCGAAGTAGCTGTTCAATTTCATAGAGCCGTGTCTGCTTGTACGGTGATCTGGCTTCTCGAAGAGAACATAGTCGTAAAATCCGCAAAAGGAGCATATGGGCGTCGATGCGAATCAGGGCTTGCTCGTGATCAACAAGGTTAAGAAGAGTATTTAGAAGCAGGGGTAATCGCGAAGCGATCTCGCTTGCGTCAGTCAGGGCGAGGTCGGAAAGGAGGAGGCACGCGGCTTGACCTGATGACATCTTGACGGTGTCCTCGGAAGGCGGAAAGAGGTTGTCCAGCTCAGAGGCAACGTCCGTTGCGGGTGCCATAGGATCTTCAAGTTTGGACAGTGCAACAGTTTGTACTGCTATCCAATCGCACAGAAAATTAAATGCATCAACGCCGACTGAGGTCATGGAGAAGGCTGAAATTCCTGCCTGTACGATCCGTATGAAGTCTTCTCTTCCACATCTGATCGTATGTATGATGCACATGCGTATGATCGCGCGGTAGTTATCGGCAAACCGTCCACAGGCAAGTCGTTGCCAGAGGGCACGAACTTCATCTGCAAAGCGAACTTCATCCGCAAAATCGCGCGACAGATGCACTGCGCTGATAGAGAGCAGATGGATCAGAACACGGGCAGGCGCCGTATTATCGTCATTCTCCGGAACAACCAGGTTGATGTGGCCCATCCAAGGTTCCAGCATGCTGAGCATTGAGTTGCCGTCATCGGTATATCCTTGTGAGAATCGTGAAGCGCATTCTGACAGAAAGGAGATAGAAAATTCCGGGAAGACCGCAGCCATCGCGCTTGAAATGGCTCGTTGTGCTTGGATTTGACTGCCTTCGGGGATAACCTCTACCGCTGAACGGAAGTTTGCTAGGGCGGGAGGCTTTTGAGAGACTTGCAGGAGCGTTTCAAGACAAGAAAGCGATTTCCTGCGGCAAGCAACATCCGGGTGAACAAGATTTGACAGGCAGATGAATAATAGGCGGCCTGTCGGCAGCAGCGTACAATCTTCCAGAATCTGATCCGAGATTATGTCGAAAAAAATTGCCGTAATAGCGGGCTCTCGACGAGACGGTAAGCAAGAGACCATGAGCGTTCCAGTCATTCGCTCATCCGAAATACTGTGATCGCAGATGTTTTTGAGGACAGTCCTATCATAGAAAATAAGAAATGAAAGCCTCATTGCTTTACGAATATACTGACTTGGCGCTCTTTCGAGCAGTCAATGAGGTGGAGGGCAGCATCTCCTTGATCCAACGGAAAATATCAGCGTACTCCAGAGACTGAGGGCCTTGGTGACTGTTGGTCAGCACGGGCCGCACGCTAAATACCACCGAGTGCGACTGGAAAACTAATTCAGCAGACACAAACGGGGTCACGAGCAACGTACTGTGATAGAAGCAATAGCTCGGGTCGCCGAATCTGCAAGCGACCGAACGAGAAAAGCGTCTGACTGCTGAGCCGGGTAATCATAATCGCACCATTCTTCACAATAGCGATAGGTACGTAGCAGAGCTTCAGCGTCGGGCTTGGTCCATAGCCCGTCGGAGTGCATCACATCCATAAGTTGCTCCACAAATCCGCAGAAGTGCTTCCGCAAAGACAAGAGCTCGTGATCTTTCCGCGATACAGCATCCTTAAAGAAAGCTAGAGATCCGCCGAAGAAGGTCAGCATGAGCTGGACGATTTGATCACGATCTGCCAAGGGATGCTTTGCCCAATCCGAGCTGAGCTGAAAGACGTGCATAACAGAAGTATGGAGCTTGTCTTGCTCTCTGTTTCTTTGCATAGCGCGTTTCTGCGAGATTGCCGCGTGTGCTTCAATGTGAATATTTCTGACCACAGATGCTGCGTCTTCGAGGACCGAACGCAGTGTGCGTGGATGGACACAGCCCAACGCATATACTGTACCTTCTCGTAGGCACCGGGTATCGGCATCAAGATAAGGCAATAACAGCCGAATCAGGCCGCGGTTGGTGAGGATTCGGTCCTGCAAAGGAATCGGCTCCGAACCATGTCTAGCATGTTCACGAGTTGGTAATGGCGTATCCGTAGGTATGGCGGTAGCAGATAAGGCCAGAACCCATGATATCCACTGCACCGAAGCTTGCTGTGAGTCTGTGAAACTGACTTGGTTGATCGGACTTCTGATGGTGGCGGAAACGGCTTTAGTGCTGATACCAGCATGGCTGGAGACGATTGGATGCGTTCTCGCGACAGCAGCGGCGAGAGTTGATCGGAAGGTGCTGATGAAGTGCGGACGCTTCTCTATCAAAACGCGCAGGAACGGAGGAAAGATTAAGCGCCATAAGAAACGATCTGTGCCGTCGTCCTCTATTAGCTTTACTAGATTGCGTCCAAATCCTCGATCGAGCCATTTGTTGATTCGCTCCTCATCGACTAAGTTCATTGCCCGCTCACTTTGTGCCAGATAATCTGCCTCGCCAATCTTTCCTTCGAGTGCATTCATTAATCTGAACGGCGTTGTAGATGCGGGCGATTCAGGTTGATACAGATCGGGCAAATTGGCGATGAGGCGCATGACATTCAGAGCCGTTTCACGAGCTTGCAGCTTGGCTGAGCAGATCAAGAACAGACAGCCTGCTTCAACGTGTCCTATGAGCTGGGCGGCTGCCTCCGGCTTGACAAACGGAATCTCAGCGTTCGTTTCACCAGACGCTCCGACTTTTTCGGCCCACTTCTTGATCATATTCGACCAAACTTCGAGGAGAGGTAGATGCTCGCACATAAGGTCAATGGCAGCTCTAGATTGAAGAATAGCTTCAGAGGCAAACAGCCAACGAGTGATAGTGAGAAGGACGCTCGTCTCATCACCGGTTGCAGTGGCAAATTTCTGCAGCGCGTCGATGGCCGTTTGACCAAGCAGAGGATTGACATGAGCGACCGCATCGACAAGTCTTCCGAGTGTGGAGGACAACTTGTTGGCTTTGTTCCAAAGCGTCGGAAGGGCCTCGTAGCACGCTCTAAGCAGTTCCATCGCAGGTGCCAAATCCTTCCGATACGCAACCATCCTCGACCCATTCTGCCTCACGACTAGATACTCCCGTTCCTCATAACTCGGCGCCTGGTGGGAGTACGAGTAACTGTCATCCGAAACGAACATGCCTCCGACGAGCCGGTCGCACATAGAAGTGATCTTCATGACCAAGGGTGAGAGGCCGTCAACGAACTCTCGCACGCCAGGCTTGGCGAGCGTCTGGTCGGAGAGGGAACCAGACCAAGCAGGAAGCTCCTCTCCGATCACCCAGAGGGAGAAGTCGTGTGATATCGGCCAGGCAGGGGGAGTATCACTTTCCATCCCTCGGAGGGCGAGGACCGCAGCCCGCAGTGCAATCGTCATCTTCTCTGGTGACTGGAGGGCGCCAGAGGCTGCGTTGGAGCCAGCGGACCCATCCTGGAGGTGGTCCAAAATGAGATCTTTCCCAAAGTCGAAATGCCGGCCACAGGCGAGCTGGAGTACGTAGACGAATAAATGAAGTGGCTCGTCTGGGGTGAGCTGGATAGGGCGATTGGGTGGGTGAAGTGCTCGAATGCAGTTTTCGAGTACCTTGAGGCTTGTCGATATGGATTCTCCTGCTCTATAGAGATATGTCCACAGGAGGCGGCAGATACCATTGAGTGCAAGCACGCGTGCAGCCTTGTCCTTCAGCTTCCCCACGCATATATCGAAACATGCCTGCCAATGCTTGAGGAAGAAGTCTGTAGGGGCACCGCAGAGACTTGTTATCGTGAGTGGGAGCGCAGACGTCCAGTAACGCGGCTTCGACATCATACTGAACGCTCTCGGATAGATCGACTGTACAGCTTTCGACCACAGAGGATGGTTGACCTCCGCGCCTGCAGTCTTCCGTACAGGGTGTATAAGCCCAGTCAGTGCCTCCGCGAACGCAGTTTTGATCGACTGTCCGTGGGCATTCGCAAACTGGCCCGCGAAGGCAGCTAGGAACTCGGCAGCTTCCTCGAACGCCTCTGGCGGCCAGACACGGAGCTTCACGTGTTTCAGTCCACGAAGGAGATGCTCGACACGTGCGTCTGTTTCTCCTTGGTCTGATGAGAGGGAGGAGATCGCAGAGAGGAACTCGTCCGTCACGCTCTCAAAGTGCGCATCTGCCATCGCACCAAGCACTTCGGAGTACAGAGAACCGATGGATTTCCAGTTCGAAGACTGGGCGAGCGCGCGAGGGTCTAGATCGCGATATTCAGCGAAAATGGTATGCTCGAGTTGAGTTGCGAGAGAGGAGGGAAGGCTGTCTTTGGTCACTGTCTGGATGAGGACAAGCAACGCGCGCGAGAAGACATAGATGGATGCCACCTAGAAAATGAAGACAAAGGTGATAATGATCAGCTCTACCGCCCCTCACAGACAGCATACATTGAAATACGTACATGCTTTCGCTGGTTGAGGATACCCCGCGCCTCACCCCCCGTGCTCCCCTTCCCTCCGGTAGCCTGCAGCGCCTTCTCAACGATATCAAGCGGCACAGATTCGCGCTGTGTCTTTCGCCAGCGCATGAGTGCTTCTACTACAGGGCCAGCGTTGCGTACTGCGATATGTGCTAGGGAGAGGAGAAGGGCGTCTAGGGTGGGATCGACTTTCCGGCCGAAAACGGAGGCGACTGAAGGGTCCTTTTCCTGCAAACAACGATATCAGCCACTAGCGTCACATCCGAACAAGAGAAAACTTACCAAGCTGAAGTCCAAAATCTTGCGCATCTTATCCTCTACCTTAGCAACAAATTGGGTGAACACGACGTGCAGCGCTAGTTCTCCAGGTGTACGGGGTTCCCCTTCTCCACCAACAGCAGCCGCGCCCAAACCGACAGCTTCGTCCACCCCGACCGCAGTCTGCAGGCCAGTCGCGCGCATGCCAACAGATCGTGGTAGCTTAGGCACGGGAGGCACAGGCTCAGACGGGTCGGAATCGTATGCCCAGCTACTGGCAGCACTGTGCGTAAACGCCCAGTTCCCAGGAGGACGACCACTGCTTGTTGACAGTCCTGCACTTGGACGATTCGCGTGCTGCCCTTGTTCTCCTCCTTGCCCAGAGTTCGCGCTTTGCTGACTTTGCTGGCTCTGTGCTGTTCCAGGGCGGGAACGAGAGGATAAAGTAGGTCGTTTCTTCACATTACTCTTCACGCTTGCTGCTGGGCTCCCAGCACGAGGTGTATCATTACGCGGCTGTTTCGCAAACGGATTGCGCAGCTCGGGGTATGTGCCGTTCTCTCCCTCTCGTGTAACAGAAGCAGATACCGAAGCGGAGGGTTTGTCTCGCAAGTTGAGCGCCGGGACGGGAGGGACGCGTTCCGAGGATTCTGCGAACGCGCGTACGCTCTTCATTGCAGCTCTGAGGCTCGCGAAACTGCTTTTCTTGCTTGGAGTGCCTCCCGTCGCGTTGGTGGCGACGCTGCTGCTGCTCGCGTGGCCCTGGAGACGTGGGAGGGAGGTAGAACTTGTCGATGCCGGAGTGAGAGCAGGGGGGGACCTGACGGAGCGCGAAGAGAGCGAATGCAGTGACATATCGCTCGATACCGAGTCCCCTCTCCCGTGCCTGGGTGGGAAACGGCCTACCGGTCCAGAAGGAGAGTCATCCGCTGCCCAAGCCCCACCGCCAAATGATCCTGCACTAGGAAGCGGAGAGTCGGAGTCGAAGAACGGTCGGTGGTGCCCATGCGGCATGGGAGTGATCAGGTTCCCGTAGTCTTCATCTTCTTCGAAATCTGAACGATTGATGATGATCAGCGTGTGTCAACAAGCAGGGGAAAAAAAGGAACGCACTTGGAATCTCGATTTGGAATGACTCTCCTGCGCTCATCCTCTAGTCTTATTCGAGGACGACAGTATAAAAGGAAAGCAAGATATAGCTGACGGCGCCTAGCAGGCAGTGAACAAAGCGGAGCGTTGCCTGCAAGGGGCGAACCCTTTCGGCCTCAGGGTGACCGTCCCCTCGGATGTAACATTCCTGCTTATGTAAGTGATTGTTATGTCACTTCGGTCATGCGTTGCCATATCATCAAACTTGCTCAGCTAGTCAGATCAATTGTTGAGTAACGCATGGTCTATTCATATTTCTTATCCGCTTTCTGTTGTTAAAGTCGTATGCCGTTATCCTTCTTTCATAGTAACTCCGCAGGCTGGACCTCGTATTTATGCGATGTATTTCCCCGTGTTTCCCATGACACAACCCAATCAAATTGGAATGCGAACAAAGTGGGCTGACAGTAGTATCGAACTGCAGAAGGTGAGTACTTCCCCGACATGAATCACCTGAGTAGCACCTTGCCATCTATTTTAAGCCACCGTATACTTCCCACCCCTCTCAATTCCGCGCTTCCACGCCTCCCTCTCATGTACCCTCGCCACGTACTCCTTGATCTTCGGTCCCACCCCTGGTCCTCGGGAAACCAGCGTCTCCAGGGTGAATATCATGAGGAAGTCGGCAGACGTCGGGTTCGGGGCAGATGCGAACCAACCGGTAGAGGATTTTGAGAGATGAGCTTCGATCTACTGTTATGTTAGCTTGTTACCCGGTGCGAGGAAAGAGGCGAGCAAACCATCTCCGCATTCTCTTTGAGCTGCGGCTCGATAAGCAAATGCTGTACGTCTTCGCTACTCATCAACTCCTCTCCTCAAGACATAGCACAGGACGCACTGTTACAAATAAGGCGCGCGATAGGGCGGATGAAGAACGGTGCCCGAGGGGGGAGGATGCTAAATATGAGGCTCATGACGATGATAGGCTGGAGACTGCCTTCCGCATAGTGCGTGTCTATCGAATGCTCAGCCTGGAAGCATCGAAGGATATAAACGGGAAGTGAATACGCACAGTACAGGTTATCCACCCATCCATCCTCTCCCGGGTCAAACCTCCCCTTTCCATACTTCTTGATCAAGTACTCTACACCGCCTCAGCCCTGCTCCGCAACCAGCACATCAGAAACGCACCGATGATCGCCCCGCTCTCCGCGAGCTTGACATCCCCGTCCTGCATCACAGGACTCTTCCCGAGTGGATGGATAGCCTTAAGCTCCGGAGGGGCCTGCATCGATGGAAGACGATGGTAGGACTTGATCTCGTAGGGAACTCCGAGCTCCTACCATCGATGTCATAATCAGTATTGAGTAGGGGAGAGGGGAGAGGATGCGTACCTCGAGTAACCACAAGATCCTTTGGCTCCTGCTGTTGTTCAGGTGATGCAGCACTAATCTGCTCCCCTCCTGGGCCACGGGTACGACCTCTGCAGCGGCGGGGGTGACATCGGGAACCGCCGCAGCTTCGATCTCAGGTGCTACGACCTTGCCTTCGTCTGGATGAGACTCGTTCGGGGCTGGCTCAGACGGTGCAGGCTCGGCAGGTGCGGCAGGTGCAGGCTCGGGGGCTGCAACGGGAGCGTCGGCAGGAACATCAGTAGCAGGTTGTTCGGTCGCCATATTTTACTCTCCTCTAACCGATCCAAGTAGTACCCAAGAGCAACAGTCGATATGGTCGAGTTCCAAGCCACGCCATCCGCAAGGAGCGGGGATGCTGAATTAGATCGCACTGCTATACAGTTGCGGAGGAACATGAGATGTGACATGTGGATGCCAAGTGCGGGGGTTTGGTCGGAGGTTACTCTGGGTGAGGGCTCCGTTGCGCACGTTCAATAGAATTAGACGCGTCGCGTCGTGTCACAACTTGTTCTCCACCACCTCCCACTGTGTCAATAACCGCATAAGCATCGCGTGTGGACCATCCTCGAAGTCGTGCAGCAGATTGCCCATTATGTTGCTGCGGATCCAAGCCTCCATAGCATGATGATGACTTCACGCATGTGTTTCGATGCTGCAGCGCCCCTCTATTGGAGAAACATCAATAATTACGACGGGAAACTATGCAAACTGCTGAAGATTCTGTTTGTTGACTGGGAGGACGGTGGGGACGTGAATATGATTTGCTCATCGCTTTAATGTGACCCTAATATTAGCCCAGACGGTAGTGCCATCAAGTTACGAACGATTTGTCCTGTATGCGGCATTCGTCCGAGACATCTTTCTCGAATACGACTATATGCTCGAGCCCGAAGACACTGATTTTGATTCGCAAAGGTACCTCAGGACTGCCATAGGGCTTTTCTCGGATAACACGGAGCACTGGTTTCCAAACTTACAGAAACTTGGTCTTCAGCTGCCACAGCGCTTGGAATCTCTCTTTCTCGCTGCGCCATTCATCGTACCTTCCCTTCGGAATGTGGATTTGCACCTTCCATATCCGGAAGAACTCGAAGGCAGTCGAACGTGGTCGCTCGCAGTGGATGGATTGTTGCGCCGAATCTGCCGCACAGTGACACGTCTTGGCTCGTTCTCGTTAACGGGCTTTGCCACCAACAAGCGATGCTGCGAGGACTCAATGACTACTTTGCTTTCGAACAACCCTATTACCTATCTCTGCACCTCCCCAATTATGTTCACGCAATCAGTGGCAGCAGCAGCAAGTAACCTCAAGTGCATACAGTTGAACATATTCAATTATCCTTTAGTGAAACGGGCGCTTCTATCGAGTTTTGTGACGATCCCCGCCCTACGAAGCCTTGACCTTGTTGCGGTCCCGTCTATTGTCCTTAACATACTCCAATTTCTGGTGGCTGGACTTCGCAGTATTACAGTATCGATGCACCCAGACCTTGAAGAGCCTGCCGAGCCTGCCGAGCGTGTGGAGAGTGTGCATTGTCAACAGCTCAGCCGTTTGGTAGCAGATCGTTTCCCAGACGTGCAAGAGTTAACTCTGCAGTTGCGCCGGAACAAAGTTGACGGGCTGGTATCGCTGGATCACCTGGAGCCTTTGAACCATTGTTCTTCTATGGCTAGATTTCACTTCATTGCCCGTCTCCATTTGACATGATGGACGTGCCAAATAGGAACCTCAAGGCAATGGCAATCGGATGGCCATTCCTGCGCGAGTTCTCCTTGACCTGGGGTGTTCCTACACGAACCAGAAGAAAAACAGTAATACCGACTTTTGCGAGTCTATTGGTCTTTCGTGTTTTTTGCCCACTGCTTCAGCGAATGTATCTTTCGACCATCGATTTCAGCGGAGTGTTCCCCCCTTTGCCTGCACTCAAGCCTGCACGACAAGATCTCTCCCTTCATTTCACGGACCGACCCGATGTCACCGATGTCGAAGGATCCGCTGTCTTCCTCTCGTTCCTCTGGCCGCAATTGAGGCTACCTTCCTTTTCCTTGTTACCCGAATCTAGCAACCAGAGGAAGTTGACGGATTACATCGCAATTCTCACAAAATATCATCGATTCTGTGAGGAGTCGAGCGCAGGGCGAGCTGGGGCGCAGTTGACAGACATGTCCAAGGTGCTGGATTCTGGGGGGGAAGAGTAGGGATGCACGTGTTGGCCCTCTTCACACTCTCATGTCATAAGGACGAGAGGCAAAAAAAGAACCGTCCCGTGAGGATATACAAAGGTAAAGGTCTCAATCCCAGGTCTCATTCCCAGGTCTCATTCCCACTCTACTGATCTCCACCATAGGGGAAGAGGGACGAGGACAGCTCATTGGCAGATACGAATGCTTCTAAAAGTCATGGACCATTCATTCATTTTTCTCTTCTCATCTTAATTGTTAAACCCGTACAAATGATTCAGTGTTGATGCCGAGTGGGGGGGGGGG